TTGCTGTCCCTGACATCTTTCCGGAAACATCTCCGCAGCACCACCATAGCCATTGTGGGTCTTAGCCCGCTGCCCGTCTGCTGGGAGAGTCGCTGGCCCTATGGTGCCAGGGATGGATGGCTTAGCAAAGGTCCTGCGGCCACCCTTTTACCCAGACCCTAGAAGCCAGCCACAGAGACTGGCAGAAGCCCAGAAGCGAAGCAGAAAGCAAGGGAGGAGGGCCCACTGCCAAGCCTGACACCTTCCAAGGACCTCAGGGGTGCCCAGAGGCTTTGCCCACTGCAGGGACTTGGGGAGCGTGTTAGCTGGGTATCCATGACCCGTCCTGTTGGGAACAGCCCACCATCACCACGAAGGCCGGCAGACACAGAGAACCCCACACCTTTGCAATCGGAGCCTGTCCCCAGGTGAGGGGTGACCTTACAGTGGCCACCAAGGGAAGGGTGGACCAGCAGTGTGGCCCAAGAGGCCTTGCAGGGGACCCAGGATCGCAGGCCCTGAAGCCCAAGAGAGCAAGACAGACGGACAGGCCAGACAGAGGGACAAATGGCCACTGCTGGGTCCCCTCCCCCACAAACGTCCCCACCCCCCCTCTGTCAGGCAGGCTGCCTGCCAGACAGAAGGCCTGGATAGAGCGGAGGAGAGGCAGCCGGGGCCTCGCCGTGCAACCGCCAGACCAAAGACCCAGAGTCTCGTCATGGAAAGAACACGGAGCCAGGCAGACCCAGGGTCCTGGGTTTCTGGGTACAGAGGTCTCAGGGGAGCCCCTGGGGAGGGCCTTGGGCTTGAGAATCCACTTTCCTGCTCTGCGAGCTGCCACCACCCAAGTAGGAGCTCACCTTAGAATTCCCCTCGGTACCAAGACCTCCGCCTCCCCCGCCTCCTCCGTCCACCCAGCCAGCCAGCCAGAGTCCCGGGAAGGTCCATCTGAGAAGGGGGGGGGCTTCCACACTGCCACACCGGCCTCCCAACTCCTGATTTCATTTCCACCCAGCTGGCAACGGCTGACCCAGGCCCCAATGATACGGATGTGCACGTGAGCATGTGCGCATGCGCGCGGGCACACACACGCACACACACACACACACACACACACACACACACACACACACACACACACACACACACACAAGCTCCAGGGAAACTAGTACCCCCCCTCCACACCAACATGTTTCTCAGGGGAGGGGAGCCACAGACCCCAGAAGCTGAGTGTGTCTGTATATTCTTCTGGATACATGATCTACAAGGTGTCTAGGTGGGTTCAGAACCCCTGGCCTCTTGGAGCCAAGGACAGAGGCCCATAGGATCTACCCAGGACGAAAGGAAGAGGCTAGAATAGGTGACAGAAGTTCGCTGCTCCTGACCATGCGACTGTCCGTGGCTGCACAGTTCGTGGGTGACATGGAGCCAGACAAGAGGGGGTCCCGTTCTCTAGTTAGGGAAAGAAAATAAAGAAGATTCCTCACCCAAGCAGGACTGGCAGGAAGCGGGGCTGGGGAAGAAGGGAGATCTGGGGACACCCCCCCCCTGGCCCCAGCAGCAGGAAGCCAGCTTACGCAGCTCCTAAGTGCTCCCAGCCCAGACTCCCAGCTCCCAGACTCCCAGACTCCCAGCCCCGCTGTTTCTGTCCCAAGAAAATGCCCCTTGGGCTGGGAAGGTGGCTCAGTGGTAGCGTGTTTGCCTAGCATGCATGAAGCCCTGGGTTCGATTCCTCAGTACCACATACACAGAAAAGGCCAGAAGTGGCGCCGTGGCTCAAATGGCAGTGAGTACTAGCCTTGAGCAAATGAAGCTCAGAGAAAGCGTCCAGGACTGGCAAAAAAAAAAGAGACTCCGGGCTCCCAGAGACAGCGCAGGCCAGGAAAGAGGCAGAAAGCCGAGCTTCAGCATTCTCCATTCCCAAAGGCTGAGCTGGTGTTTGGGGACACAGCAGTATCCCCAGAAATAACATCACCCACAGGAACTTGAGCCCCCAAATGCCTGCTCAGACAGATACAACATTTGCAGGCCTGGGGAAGCTCCCCCCGCCCCTGCCCGGGGGCCTTGACCAGCCTCTAAGAATCAAACCAGCTACCCCTTCCTTTGGGGTCCCCGCTCCCCTTCTCCCCCTTTGCTCCTGGGTCCTACCACCCCAAGCCTTGGCTCCTAGGGCATGGCATCTCTGAAGCCAGCCTCTGGGCAGCAGTAAGTCCTCAGGGGCTGCTCCCGGCTGCCCTCTTCCCTTCACAAACACAAGTTTCACGGGTAGATGGGAGGCAGGGAGGTCCGAAGAGGGAGGCCCGATGTGCCTGTGTCCATGGGAGTTGGCTGGGGCAAGATGCTGGGCTGGGCTGGGGTACCAGGGGAAGAAGCTAAGGCAGTTCAAAATCAACACCAGCCTGTTACCAGGCCTGGCCCCCAACCCCCACTCCCCCAAGACAGCACATCATTGTCAGCCCTGAAACTCCAAACCATAAACTCAATCTATCACAGCTTGCTGGCGATTCTTTATTAAACCAGTTCTACCGGATCAATGTTTGCTGCCCATCAACATGATGAATATGTCTGCAACTGACCAGGGCAAGCGCTTGGTAGACAGCTTGGGTGGGCCATGGTGACCGACCAACCGCAGACAGAGACCCAAGGCCAGGGGCCGAAACTCTGGAGCACTGGGGTGAGCGGTAGGTTTTCTAAGCTCAGCATACTCGGCTAGGCCTTTGCCCTCCCTGACCTCCTGAAGATTAGATCCACTGTCCTACCCCAGACGCAGGAGAGGTAGGACCTCCCCCCAACACACCCCTGGACAGGCACGAATGGGTCTTTCTTGCATGCCTTTCCTCCGACCAGGCCCAGCGTCAGACAGCTAGCAGTCCCTGTGGGCTGGTTGCGAAGAGCCACGTTCAAAGCTCGGTTGGACCTTTTTCTTCCACTGTCCATTTACCAGTCCTGCTACGTCCACCTCCTCTTCCTCCCATCCCCTTCCCTGTACACCGCCATCCTGGGGGGAGGGGGAGGGCACAGGGACTGAAGACCTCCATCCCAGGATCCAAGGTAAGACCGGAAGGGGGAAGGTTACTTTGGATAGATGAACTCCACCTGATCCTAGCTTTCCACCATCACAGGTGAGGGGCGGGGAGGGCTAGCACCCCGCCCCCTCCATGGTCTTCCATCAGGGCTAGTTATCAGTGGAGACTGCGCATGCCTGGGGAAAACACAGGCTTGGTGACCAACAGATATATATATAAATATATATATCTCACCCTGCACAGAAGCTGTCTTACCACTAAGGGGGGAGTCTGACATGGGGAGGGGAATATGCCCCCCAGCAGTCTGTGGCCACCGCGGACACATTCAGAGGGGGGGGGTAGAGAAGCCCAGGGCACCCCTAGGAATAGGGGAGACCTCTCCCCAGCCTCTGTACATTCTCCCAGGTCCCAAGGCCCAGCCCCAGATCCTGCAGGAAGGGCCCCGTGATCGTTCACACAAGTTGATGTGACTACACAGCTCAGGATCCCCGGCCCGCTGTGGCGAAGGGCTCAGGTATGAGGGTTCGAAAGAGCAGTCTCTGAAAAGAGAGTTAAAAGAGGGGGGGCCCCCTCTATTCACCACCTATTTTAAGAGCTGTCTGACTGGTCCTTCCCAGCCCCGGCCATCTCTCTCATTGGATGGAAAACAGCTCTGCTCTCCTTACAAACCCAGATCCTCTGGAGTTTGCAAAAGAGGGCTCTGGGGTGGCAGAATGCTTGCGGACACGGGCTGGCAAGAGAGCGGGCAGGGGCCCCCAAAGAGGGGAATGTGAGAAACCCCGGGAGGGGAAGGCAGGGCGAAAGGGGGAGGTGAATGGTTTCCCAAATCCTCATCTCCATCTGCTGTGCTGGGGGGGGCTGAGGGGGGTCCTGGGGAAACCTCACAGCCTGGACTGAGCTGAGGACGCTCCCCGGTGCCCAAGTTCAGAGGCAACAAGCACCCTCCGTTCTCCACCCATAGGTCCTCAAGTCCTGAGACACGTGTACAGTTGGGTAGCATCTGAGGGTGACACGGGACGGACAGGGTCCCTCTTCCAAACCGATGGTCCTCTTTTTGTTTAAAGACCCACCACTGACCCATGAGAGCCCCCCCACCCCCACCCAAGGTGCTAGGGCTTGGGCTACTGCCATGGGGGGGGTAGGGCACCAGCCTCTACTTGGGAGGGGGGTCCACCGGACGGTGGCATGTCAAACCAGGACATTGGGCATCGGTGCTGGCCACTATAAGCAAGGTCATTCTGTCCTGCCCGCCTGGGAGCTCACGGGACCGCCTTCTGGTCCACCATTGGGGCCCAGGGTGAAGGGGTTATGGGGGGGCTGCAAGGGGGAGGGGCTTTTTAACCCTGGTCCTTGAGGCTCTGGCTGGGGGGGGGCGGTGCAGAACTTCAGTCCTCCTGGAGGGGGTGGGGGGAGGGTCTGCCCACAGCTCCCTGGGGCTCCCCACAGCTACTAACCCACAAAGGCACCCCCCCATTGCTGGCCCTAAGGGGGTGGGGGTATCTCCGTGTGTGTCTCTCTCTCCCTTCACCGCCCTTCCGTGCAGGGCTGTGTGACCCCCGCACACAGCCCGCCGCCACCGCCTTTAGGAGCGGCCAGCCCGGGGCTCTGCAGCCCTGGCGGTGGGTGCGGCGGGCGCGTGGCTCACGCGGGAGGCTCGGCCCCATCCTGGCTGCGGACAAGCCTAGGCCAGCCTCCAAGAAAACAAAAACTACCTTTATTTCTTGATTCCCAGTCCAGTCTGCCAGAAGGGAGCAAAAGTTGGAGGAGATCGGGGGAGGGGGGGGTTCCCCCAACCTCCTCCTCCTCCTCTTCCTCGCTTTCCCTTAGGAGCTCCCCGGGCCGGCGGCGGCGGCGGCGGCCCCTCGAGCAGGAAAGTTTATAACTCCGGGCTCGGGAGGCCGAGCGACGCGAGCACACCTGCCGTCCCGGCCAGCCCCACGGAGGGGTGGGAGGAGGCGGGTTCACAAGGCGGGGTGAGGAGCCCCCCCCCCTTACCTGAAGTCGCTGTAGGGGTGGATGATCCAAAACCCCGCCGACTTGACCCGCTCCTGCTCGCGCTCCACCGCTTTCTGGCTGCCGAACATCCGCAGGGAGAATTTGTTGACCCCGGGTTGCAGCATGGCCCCGAACTGGCGCTGCATGAAGCCGGCCTGGCCCAGGCGCGCGTCGGCCTCGGGGAGGATCTGGTCGGCTCCGGCCGCCTCCGCTTTGATCGCGGTGTCCGGCGGCGGCGGCGGGGCCGGGGCCGGGGCGGGCGGCGGGGCCCCGGGACGCTCGGGCTCCAGGCCCGGCGGCGTGCGCTCGTCGGCCGGGGACGCGTCGCCCTCGGCGGCGGGGATGAGGCGCCGCTCCTCGGCCGCGTCGCTCGCGTGTCCGGCGGCCCCCCCCCGGCTGCCCAGCGAGGCCAGGCTCCCGCGGAGGCGCCGGCAGTCCCCGTTGGTGCTGGACTTGCCCGGCGCCTCGGCGTCCGCCGCCCCGAGGGCCGCGCCCCGGGGCTCCGCGGCGGGCAGCGGGCGCAGGCGGATGCTGGGGCGCCGGGGATCCCGGCGGCCGCGCGCGCCCTCCTCGTCCGCGTCGTCCTCCTCGTCCATGATCCACGCCTTGGCCCCCACCTGCTGCGGAAGGCTGTAGAGCCGCTGGCGCATGGACGGCGGCAGCTTGTCCATGGCGCGGGCGCCGCCGCAGGCGGAGGAGGCGGCGGCGGTGGCGGGGCCGCGTCAGGACCCACGGCCGCCCGGCCGCGGGGACCCCGGCGCCGCCGCCCCGCCCCCGCGGGGGGAGACAATGGGAGGCCCGCGTGCGGGGCCGCGCGTGCGGGCGCCTCCCCGCCCCGCTCTCCGCGCCCGGGGGGAAGGGGAGTGTGTGCGGCCCGGGCCGGGGCGGGGGGCGCGCGGCTGTCCCCGCCCGCCTTACATCAGCGGCCGCCTCCTCCCCCGGGGCGCCCTCCGGCCGCCGCGCGCGGGCTCCCGCGCCCCGGAATATTCATGAAGCCACCGCAGCTCGCGGGTTGCCATAGGAGCGGCTCCCGCAGCCCCGGCCGGCCTACCTGGGCTTCTTAAAGGGGCAGCGCGCGCGCGCGCGGGGCGGGGCGGGAGGGGAGGGGCGGGGAGGGCGCGGACCCCCCCCCTCCCCGCACACACACGCACACGCACCTCCCCACGGCCCCGCCGCCCGCCCGGCCGCGCGTGCCCTGTCCCCACCCCCGTGCGAGGCCCGGCCCGGGGTGGGAGGGGAGGACGGGGGGGGGGAGGTGGGCGGGGCAGGACCCCCCCACGCTCCGGGCGGGACCCCCCGTCCCCACGCTCCCCACCGCACATCCCCGGGCCTCGGCCCGCGGGGAGAGGGGTTTGCGGGAAGCGCGGCGCGGCGGACCCCCCGGGAGGGGTGGGGGTTTCCTGAGACGCGGGAGGGGAGGGTGCGGGGAAGGGGGGGGGGTGAAGCCCGGGCTCCCCGCCGCCGCCGCCGCCGGGGACGACGCGGGGCGGGGAGAGGGGGGGACGCCGAGGCACGCACGGCCCTTCGAGGTTTAAGACTTCGAGGAAATGCGGACGCGGGATCTCCCCGCGCCGGCGCCCCCCCCCCCCGCCGCGTCCCCTCGGGGTGACTTCCAGCCAGCGCGGGGAGCCGCGGGCCCCGGCGCGCGCCGCCCACACCCGGGTCTCCCGGGCCGGCTCTGGGTCCGCTTCCTTCCCATCCCGGTCAGTGGAGCGGGGTGGGGGGCGCCAGCCCTGGGGATCTGATACACCCCCCCCACTTTTGCACAGTCCCCACACCCCTCTAGGTGATGCCCCCACCCCCCAATCCAGCCAGGGATCCAGCCTCTAGGAGCGGCCCCACTCCTAGGCGCTGGCTGGTGCAATCTCTGGGCTTAAGGACACATCTCCCCCCCCCCCCCCAAGATCAGGGTGGTGGTGGGGGTCCTAGCTCCCACAGACATCCACTCAGGAGTGGGCAGTGGGGTGCAGATGGGGTCTCTCTCAGAAGGGGGGGCTGTGTTAAGGCTGACACGGGGAGCTAGGGAGGTGCTGGGACTCAGCAATAGCCCTGAAGTTTCCCTTCAAAGGATTTCTTTACATTTGAATTCTTAAGCTTACTACACACAGTACCACCCGCCCACCCCAACCACCACACACACGCACACGCACGCACACGCACACGCAGGGCGGGGGAACGTTTTGGTGGTGGGATGAGGGGCTTGGAGGATGATGGAGGGGAGGCTGGCAGAGGCCCTGGGCTCTACCCACTGGGCCACAGGACCTGGCACCGGGGAGGAGGGGCAGGCCGGGCTGGGTGACATCACCACCGCAGCCGGCATTTCTACTTTCGAGCAGCTCTGGAGCTGACAGTTTTCGCTGCACACAGATGCCGAGAGACCTAATCCCTGAATGTCCTTGTGTCTCCTTGACCAGGAGTGTTCTTAACTGGCCGAGAGCCCTGCCGAGCGAGCATCCTGGCATCCGGCCTCCACCCAAGACCTCTGCTTTCACTCCTTTCCTCTTGCTTTGTTTGCCAGGTGTGTGTGTGGGGGGGGGGGTGTGGTGTGTGTGATCTGTGTCAACCCAAACTGCAGGAAGGCAGCCCACACCAGCCCCCCATGGCCTGGCACCCTCTCCCCCTAGGAGTCCCTCTCCTTGCCACCCAACTCCTGTTCATAGACGCCCTTTTGTTTCCTGAGGACCCCTGATCTTTTAAGCATGGATGCACAGCACTAGGGCAGAACAAGTCCCCTTCTGGGCTGACGTCCCTGTGTCAGGGACCTGGGTAGATAGAACAGATCACAAAGGCCAATCCTACTATGGATGAGTGAAGGACCCTGGAACAACATTGAAGAGAACCCTGGAACATGGTGGTGGGGGGTCTTAATACACCCCCCTCTCTGCTTTGCTACCTAGAAATGACGGGTCAATACATCGGGCCAGGCCTCTTCTGTCTCTCCAGGGGACATCTGTGGTGTGTCAACAAACTGGGGGACAGCAGAAGAGGGGAGCTACCCAGTGCTGCCCTTTGTGGGGAGGCTAGCCTCACGATCGAACCAGAGGAGGAAACTCACCACCAGACAGGACAGACAGAGATGATCGATGGAGCCCAATCATGAATGATTTGGAAGGGAAAGCACCGCAGGTGTAAGCAGAGAGGGCTTCCTGGAGGAAGGGGATTCCATTTAGGGGGGAGACACACTTTATGCCTTATTGGCGAACCGTACGGAAGTTAGGCTAGATTCAATGGCTATTAGACACAGTTTGGGCAGTTTTGCAAGCCTCAGCCCCCAGGTACTGAGGTTTGAATGGAATCACTGTCCACATTCCCAATGCTTTTTGCTTTCCTTTTTTTTTTCTTCTTCTTCAAATAGGATCTCACATTTTACCCAGGATGGCCTGGATTGGAATCCTTATTTGTTTATTTATTTACTTATTTAGTGTCAATACTGGGTCTTGGACTCAGGGCCTAGGTGTGGTCTTTTAGGCTTTTTTTTTTGGTTGTTGTTTAGCTCCACTTCTGGCTTTTGGCTGGGTGGTAGGAGCTAAGAGTCTCTCATACTTTCTTGTCCTGGCTGGCTCTGTACCTCGATCCTCAGCCTCCAGAGTAGCTAGGATCCAGTACCCAGCCAAGATCTTCCTATTCGTCCTTCCTACCTTGTTGGATTGATGGTACCCTACTTTTTATTGGTCAAGATGTGGCCCCTCAGGGCTGAGCCGGGTGGAGTGGACCTCCAACTGTAATCTCAGCCTGCTCAGCAGGGAAGATTACAGATGTGATCCACCACGCCCAGCCTCCAGCCTGCACCCTACATTCCAAATTGTGAGTAAGACCAGAGACAGCAGAGCAGCTAGACAAATTGCCAAGTGACCCACAGCAAGAAACCATGACACTGGAACATCACGCAAAGGCTCCCCGGGTCAGGCTTTGCTGTTTTGCCCTGCCTGCTCACACAGGTGTGGTGGGGGCTGGCACAGGGGCTGGAGGGAGAGGGCATGGCTGGTTCTGAGTCTGGTGTGGCTGAAGCAAAGTGGTATACAGGAGTGAGGACAGAGCTCCCAATCCCCCGGCGTTCTGTTCTCTTCCCTTCCCATCCCTGCACCCTGCTTTTTCCCCAGCACGAGGTTAACCTTAAATTAGACTTCAAAGGCTCATAGAGCTACCAATGTGTCCTCACCATGTTAAAATACTCTTTCGTGAAATCATGGGTTTGAGAGATGGTTCTTTTTTTTTTTTTTTTTTTAATGCCCCTGGCCAAATAAAAAGTTAGCAGAGCCAGGCGCTGGTGGCTCACGCCTGTCATCCAGCTACTGAGGAGGCTGAGATCTGAGGATCACAGTTCAAAGCCAGCCCAGGCAGGAAAGTCTGTGAGACTCTATTATCTCCAATAAACTTACCAAAAAAACTAAATAAATAAAAGCACCCAGATCCTGAGTTCAAGCCCCAGGACAGACAGACACTTAGCTAGAAGGATGGTAGTCTAGGCAGGTGTTGGGGGGACAGGGGGAGGGGGGAACATGCAAGACTTCATCCAAACACTAAAACAAGGGCTGAGGGTATGGTTCAAGTGGTAGAGCACCTACCTTGTAAATGCAAGGCCCTGAGTTCAAACTCTAGTGCTGCAAAAACAAAGACACCCCCCCCCCAAAAAAAAGTTGTTGAGATGAAAAGGGTGTGTTCTTATCCAAAGTTATTTCAATTCTCCTGGTCATTTCTAGCAACTTCTAGCTATCTCCAGAAGGCAGATTTTTTTTTTCTCCTCCTAGGGATCTCAAGCCACAGGCAGCTGCTTCTGTGGCCCCTGACCGCCCCTCTGCTTGGGACCCCTGGGAAAGCTGGGGGTCCTGAGAAAGCAGGCTAGCCCCAGCATCCCATCCTCAGCAATTCATCCCAAACCAGCCTCGAGACAGACATACAGCCACTACCCATGAGCCAGCCAGCTCGCCTGAGCCTCAGGTGCCCGTGTCCCCGTGCAGGGCTGGCTGCTGGCAGAAAGAGCAGAGGATGCCCCAGTGCGGGCCGCGCCTGGCCTGATGGGAGGAGCATCGGATCAGCCCACAGGTTGCTTTGCCCAGGGTCAGCAGCTCAGAGCAGTGATCAAGGATGGGCTTCCATGCAGGGCGCTGGTGGCTCACGTCTGTCATTGAGTCGCTCCTTAGGAGGCTGAGATCTAAGGATTGCAGTTCAAAACCAGCCCAGGCAGGAAAGTCCATGAGATTCTTATTTGCAATGAACCACCAAAACACCGGAAGTGGCGTTGTGGCTCAAGTGGTAGAGCGCTAGCCTTGAGCAGAAGAGCTCCGGGACAGCCTCCAGGCTTAGAGTTCAAACCCCACAACTGACCAAAACACAAAATGAATGGGCTTCCTGGAGAAGGCAGGAAATGGGCTGCGTTCTCTAGGCTTGAGCATATGGGCTGGTGTGTGCACAGACATGCATGCATACAAGCATGCACGTGTGGATGTATACATGCATATACACATGCATGCATGTGCACGCACGTGTGAGTGTGTGTATGCACATGCATGCATTGGGCACACATGTTAATGCATGCAAGGGTACATGCCTGTACTGTGTGCACATATGTGTATGCATACCTATGCAGATGTAAACACGTGCATTTCTCTCTGTGGTATTCTCAGGCGTGGACTGGGGATCAAGGCCACTAAGCTGTCACCCTAGGCCGACT